AATGTCAATGGTCTACACTCTCCTCTACAGTCCATTCAGAAAAGGCTGAGCGCTGGCTCTGGAGAGCTCCCGTGTTTGGCGATTGTGTGGTACATTGTGCAGTGCCGCGCGATTCGAAACTTGAAAAAGGGTCCAAAAAGGCACCTCAACTGGGGTTCGAACCGCAAATGTACTGTTATGTAAGTGGAGTGAATGGCCTGGATTTTCATGGTTTTTACCCGATTCAGTGCTTTGGGGGCAAAACCTGGCCGAAATCCTATTCTTGTTATGGCTTGCTTTTTGGAGAAATAGACTTCAAAAACACAATTGGAAGAGCATTCCATGGGGGATTGCCAAAAAAAAGGAGACGAAAACTCAAAATTTGACCCGTTTATGGCCAAAACTGGCAAAAGCCAGGATATCATCTTTTTCTGAATGGACTGTAGTCTTGGCTCTACTCGATCGTACTAGTACTACTACTCCCACAACCAAGTAAATAATTTTTTTAATTTTTTTTAATTTTAGTTTTGTGACACTAGTCTCGTATACGCGTAGTGCATGCAATGCATGTGCCAATGATGCATGCACCTGCCTGATTTGGCCTGCCATAGTAACGGGGTATGGCGCTCGGCGGAACCCGTCGATTTTTACTTTTTTAGCAGCTGCTTCAAACCTCGCGCGCAAGCATAGCGCATGGGATGCTTGTCACCTATCCTTGGACGTCATTGACTGTTTCAGAAGAAGGTGTTCCGCGCTGTTCGTTGCTTTTTCATTGATTAGAACACGAGTGTTCCGGCCTCATCAGCTCATGGTTCTCCGGCCTTGTTCGTTCCCACAACGAATTACTTGCGGTGCACGGGTCGGTGTAATTACGTATCTACTAGCTACTGAAGACAGTAGTGCTTGCTGTTAGCTTAGCGGTCAGGGAGTGAAGGAACTTTGTAGCAAGTCACTGGAGAGTTACCCATGCAGCTGCTGGGAGTCTCTCACTCTCTCATACTTGTTAGTATTGCTCATGTACCTGAACCAGCGCTGTAGTGTGGTGTGGTAGCATAAATACGTGGTCACGGTAGTGGCTTGGCTTGGCTTGGCTTGGTCATGGCTGCTATCAATCCTATGGACAGGGCGGTGACGTCCGTACACGAGTTACCGCTAGCTCACTATCGCAGTCGTGACCCAGTGAAGAACTTGAAGATCAGGTGAGTGTCTTGCAACAACACAGAATGTTTTGGAGCAAACTTGACTTAGCCCAGAGGCAGAGGGGAATTTTTCTGTGAACCAGAAATGACTGCGAATTCCTTTCAGCCTGAAGGAAGAGAAATAACTGTGCTCAAGTAAAACTCAATCTATACTTCAGTTCCAGTATGGGAGTTTACGTTGTGTACCCATTGTGGCAAAAACACACAATTGTTGAATTGAGTTCAGCTTATTCACCCATTTAAACATGACCATTGCCATATCCACATTTTCACACTATCCTATACATTGTACTGCATAGTAGGGAGTTGTAACCATGGTAACCGAACCTTGCTGCAAAGTTGAAGTATAAACCGACAATAGCACTATCGCGAGCATGCCTGCCTGTCCGTGTTCCAGTACGTGCAGTTTCCAGTGATTTGCTGGCCAGAAACCCCACTTCTAAAAGTTAGTGTATGGTGTAGACCAGGCTAAATCATAGTGGTCTATTCTTCAGCCTTGTAGTCAGCTGAATGCCCCCCCCCCCCCCCCCGCTTCCGTCGTGCAAGTTGCTATGGCTCCTATTGCACAAGTGCTGTCAGTATCATCACCTTTGATGGGCGATGAGTGTCTAAAGGGTCTGAGGTGTATGTGCTTACAGGGCTGAGTAAACATCACTGTTTTAGCTTTGGCATTGTGCTGCACAGCTTGTAGAAATGACTTTTCCTGGACAGTAAATCCCAGTTTTTGACGAGAGTGCTGCTTTTCGGCCCTGCTAGCTATGGAATGGCGCAACCCAGAACAAGCTGCCATACTTACTGCATAGTTCACTGTCATCGCCTTCAGTCATGATGCCTTCTAGCTAGGGTGTGCTGTATACTTGTATGTGGGTGAAGGTTAGAGCATTCGGGGAAAAAATCGGCCTGGCACGTTGTTGGGTGGTAAGTTCTGCGCGGTGTAACCGGAGCAGTATTGTAGAATTGTAGTATGGTATAGCATTGTGGAATGGTATTGCATTGTAGTATTGTATCACGCTGTAGCATGGTGTCGCGCTGTAGCAGGGTATTGCACTGTAGCATGGTGTCGCACTGTAGTATGGTATTGCATTGTAGTGTGGCATCGCATGGTGCGATGTTCACACTCCACTATCCCGCAGGCAGCAAATAGCAGTACTCGTGGGAGTGTTTTTCAGTTTATATTGGAGTTCTATCACATCTTGCACCCATTCCTATTGATCTGCTCTTAGCTGGCACAACTGAAAGAGTCTTTCTTGCTGCATGCAGTGTCCCAACCCAACTGTCCTGGTACATGCTTCATGCATGCAGCTCACATGCAATGTCTATGCACCTGTGTCTTCTCCATTGCTATGGGCAGAGTTACCTTGAAACGAGCCACCCGCGTGGGAAGATTGGTCTCCAATATTGCCTCCAACATTGGCTTGGCAGGAGAAGGTATCTCTACCAGCGCCGTACCAGCAGGCAGCACAGAAACACCGGGGGCAGGCAAAGCAGGCACAGGCAACCAAGAGCAGCAGCAGCAGCAGGCGGTGCAGCCGGAACAGTCACAAGCTGCTGTTGAGAGTGGTGATAACGACGACTATACATTCTCCTGGCAAGAGAAGTTGTTTTCCAGGGTGAGGCCGTTCACCACCCCGAGTCTTGCCCATAGTCTTGATGTAGCCGGGATACGATACTCTGAACCAACAGTATTTCTTGTTCATGCGTTATTTGTGACTTGACTTCCAGTATGTGGCTGTGTTGTAGAAGAATATGGATTGACACCGATAACCATAGGAGTGACTGGACATTCGTTTTCGGTCATTTGTGTTTCTTGGTGTTGTTTTTGTCTTTCAGAGAGAAGAAGATGCATACAGTGATCGTAATCGTTGTATCCTGCCTAAAGATGTCACCTATCATAACCTACTGAATCAGACACGGTAAGCGCAGGTGCAATTTGCCATGACTTTGGTCTTTCTTTCCTAGGAGACCAGGCGCCAAGAGAATGATCTCTTTTGCTGAGAAGTTATACAAACACAGCTGTACTTTTATTCAGTTCAATATTAAAAATAACTGGGTTTGGTTTGTTGGCAGGAATATCATATTGAACTGAATGCCTATCCAGTTGTGTAGCAGTGCCGATCTAGCTAGTCGTGTAGCAGTGTGTTTACGTTGGTAGCTTGCAGGCCTACCAAGTCACCATATCACCATCATGTGAAGTGATCTTTACTTGGTCAGTAATACTGTTTGTGAAAACATTCCAACTATTGCCACTCGTCCTGTTGGTATAATACGGATCACAAGAAAACGTCCTTGGAAACCTCTAGTCACCTACCTTGCCTGGTATGTCTGAGTGATGAGTGCGGCGCAGTTAGTAATATTCATAGCTTTATTAAAATAGTACTGTTCTTCTCTCCTTGCACACGGCAGCGAAAGGTACGGAGGAAAGAGGCCAACTCACCACCTGTTTACCTATGTGGATCATGACAACTTCACGGACAATGAAGAAGTGAGTTTGTCTGCTGACGTGTGAACCAGCCATGTGCGATCATGCTGGAGCTGGGCTGTGCAGTGAACCACGGGCGTAGCCCGCAGTGTTAGGTTGCCCGGAAACCCCCTCCGGGGTTGCAGCGCGGACGCCGAAACCTTTAAAAACTACTCTCGTGACTGCATGCACCGTGCAGTCACCGGAAGTACAAAGCAACAGTGACGTGCATGCACTTGAGTGAGGTGTGAAACTATGTTACTTCGCGAGTGTTTGGTGTTTTTTTGCACTATCTAGCTGGACACCTACGGTCATTGCAAGGCCGTCACAGCTGGGGCGGTTGAGGCCGCCCCACTTTTTAGGCGGTTTTTTTTTTTTTTTGAAAGGAGCTGCATCTGCGCCTTGATCCAAGAGGGTGGTGGCGTTCCTGCGGATGCGGAAAACTGGGCCTTTGGCCGAGTCTCACGCGAACCGTGAAATTTTTTTTTTTTTTTTTTTTTTGAAACTCGGGTATTGAGCCAATAATAAAAGTAGAAAGGAAAAGGACATGTAAACGAGTTAAGAGTAACTCTCCACCACTTTAACTAGATACTATATACAGTCAGAAAGTGCAACAGCTAGGCACAAAACTGACAGAGTACTGAGACATTCGACGTCCTGACACCTAGCTTCAACACATCTACGTAGCGCTAACCGACAGCCTTCCAACTTGGAAGGTTCAAGGTTATGGATAGACCAAAGAGGGGAAGGCAAGCGCAACGAAAACGAGCACAAGCTACAGTCCCAACGGAACAAAGAATGTCGATTGTCACTGGACGATGACGAGACCAGTAGGCGATTTAACAAAGCGGTCTAACTACAATTCGAAGCAGCAAAGCAGCACACCACCCAACTTGATGTGTTGAAGCTAGGTGTCAGGACGTCGAATGTCTCAGTACTCTGTCAGTTTTGTGCCTAGCTGTTGCACTTTCTGACTGTATATAGTATCTAGTTAAAGTGGTGGAGAGTTACTCTTAACTCGTTTACATATGTCCTTTTCCTTTCTACTTTTTTTTTTTTTTTTTTTTGGAGCACACTTGACTCCATGATCGCAACTCGGCCCAAACGTGGAAAATAATGAAGAATCCTTGTCCCCGATCGTGGTTTATTGCAGAATCAAAACAGTCTTTCATTGCACACAACACACTGAAATGGCACCAAATGCCTGGAAATGCTTGCAAATTGGCTTCAATTTTTGGAATTTTTTCCCGTGGGAAGATAATGAAGAACCCATGTCCCCAATTGTAGCGTCTTCTTGGTTTGTTGCAGAATCAAAAAGTCTTTCATTGTAGTTACACTGAAATGGCACCAAATGCCCGGAAATGCTTGCAATTGGCTTCAATTCTTGAAAATTGTCACGGGGGACGACCCCGGACCCCCCCCCCCCCCCCCCTTCCACGGCCGCCCCACCTCCAAAGTCGGTGCGACGGGCCTGCATTGTATAGGCTCTCTTTCATGTTGAGTTTTTTTAATACAAATGTCTTAGATGTGAATGAACCACGACACGTGCATTGACAATACTTCAGTAGAAATGTAAACAACGGTGCTATGCGTCTGTGCGTGTGCATGTGGGTGGGTATGTGTCTGTGTGTACGTGCATGTGGGTGTGTGGGTGCCTGCGCTTTGGTGTAGTTCCAGCGCCAGTCAACGACATCGCCCAATGAAGAGCCATCATTTTTGGCAGAGCGTTTGATGACAGTCCGTCGACGTCATCTAGAGGGGCACATTGATACTGCACGGTACACTTTTTTTTTACTTTGTCGCATGGAAACATAAGCCAGTATTAAGATGAGATGAGCTCTGGTTCCCGGATTTGCACTGAAGAGCTCAACCACAATGGAGGGCGAAGCCTTTGCTATCTGCTGATATGAGTATTATGTACATGTATTACAAGTAACTCACATGTATACTGATCTGTTTAGAGGACCACACAGCATATCTACATGTATATCAGTTGCAGTGTACCCTGGAGTGGCCATTTCAGATTGAGGATTTGACCGTATTCATGTTTTCCTGCAGTCCGAGCCGTGACAGCTGTGGACGCATACAGCCGATTGCCACGTGGAAGACCGACACCAGGCTAGGAGTGGCACACACGACACCGACACGATGTCAGTGCATGCACATCATGGCCGACCTCACTCCCAATCATTTGTAAGTGTAGTATAGTGAAGGCGAATGATGGCGAGTTTTAGGTTCAGCATTGCGGTAATGAGTCCGGGTTTGGGCTAACCATTTTAACTGAGACAGTGAGAGTGTTCCCCTCATGAGCACTGTGAACATTGTTGACGTGTATACGGATATTCTGCACTTGATTCTCATGACTTAAATTCCCCAACATTGGACTATTACCGTGAATCGGTCCCGAACAGTTGACAGTTATCACTTGTCAGAGAGGTGCTATAATACTTTAAGTAACAGTCATGTTGCCGCTAGACCGTTCCAGTATGACTGTGTTGTCTCTTGCTCACACAATGTAGAGAACCAACTCCTCAGGATGAGTACATCTTGTGCACATTGAAGGTATGTGTCCCTTTTGGATGGAAACAAGGCTTGCCTGGAGTAGTTTTCTGTGGCAGGATGGGATGCTGCTAGTGAACTGTGTGTGCAAGTGATGTGTGGTGCAGGCACCTTTGTGGAATTTATTAATACTGGTGGTAAAAGAACCTTTAAAGAAGGATAGCTAGATGATGCGAATTGGGGTGACTATTTCCATGCAACCGATTACATTTTCCGAGAGCACCATTCTGACCAGTTGTATTTGTACTGTAGTGCTGATCAGTCTTGCATCATAAGCTTAGCAGCATCATATCGAGTCCTTGCTGAACCTCCTATCGTTTTTTACCGCATTCGGTCTGTGTTACTGTGTAAGGAACAAAAATCATGTCACCATCAAATCTTCTGAAATAGCTGGAACCTTGCTCTGTTGTATTGTCTCATGTTGTTTATAGATCAATGCCAATGGTGTTCTTTCCGTGCAACCAGAGTTTACTTGTAGTAGCTCTGTGAGCACAGAGGTACGCCGCACTTCGACATCAGTAGAGCACAAGAAGTCCTACCTCATAGAGTCCAGACACCAGGGTAAGAGTATTAGTATTAGTGTGAATAGTCTCTATACAGCAGGGCCGGAGGCAGCTTCCAGGGAGCGGTGCGGCCGAAGGGCATCTTTAAGGGGGTCTGGGGTCCTCCCCCAGAAAATTTTGCAATTTAGACGGCAAATCCTGCACTCTGGGCGACTCCCTGTACAAAATCATACAGCGAAACTTTTTCTCCCCGGTTTTGGACGTTCCACGTGGACCGACTTTTTGGGAAGTTGGTACGGCCATGGCCGTACTGGCCGTACCAGTGGCGCCGGCCCTGTTCAGTTGATCAACACTGCCGCTGAGTGACTTAGAAGAAGGGGGGGGGGGGGAGTAGTTGGTCATGTGGCCAGTTTCTTGTACAAATGGCAAGTGAAGGTAATCTGGGTGGGGAAACTCTGCATTCCTACCTGCCACACTCGGGTCTGACTGTTTACATTGCCATACGAGTACAGTCTTAAATATGTATACAAGGTGGGCACATGTACTAGCACTTAGTATTTACAGTGCAGGTGTATGATCGGCATAGCCCTACTGTTTCTGCAACGGAGAGATCCAAGATCCACTACATCAAGTCGGAGTACATGAAAACCAGAGTGTGCAGCTCGGATGGGTTCCGTGATTACATCATTTTAGTGATGTAATGCGTACAAGCAGGATTCAAGCAGGTCTCTTTCTGCACAACTGCAGCTCAGTTGTACGCACTACGCCATTTCCCGCCTCAGATCTGCACCAAATATGATGTAATCACGGAATTCCGCCGTGCCAGACACCCATAGTAGAAAAGGCCCCAAGCTGCACACTCTGCTTTTCATGTACTCTTGACTATATGTATACTGAATGTGTAAGGGCTTGAAAGAGTCTTCTGCGTTGTAAGTTCATTGTTGTTACTGAGGGCCAGTAAGAGCTGGTATGTGGATTTAACTCGGATAATGAGCCGGTATGAAATGTAAAATAGAAGAAGAAAACACGTGGAAACGAGTTATGAAGCAACTATCCAGTCGTCTTAGGTCGCTGAATGTCTCAGTAGCCTGTCAGTTTTGTGCCCTGTTACTGCACGTACTGACCGCTTATTATCTTGTTACATTCGTGGATAGTTGCTTCATAACTCCGACGGTTTCCATGTGTTTTCTTCTTGTATGTGGATTTCAGAGTCTATTTCATGATGAACTTTCATGCCCTTCACATCATATTATAATTATTATGTCATTTATGGCAGATGTCATTGTTGTTGGTTGTGCATAGAGCTGTTTGAATTCACCGTGGAACATGTTTCCCTGGAGACTGATAAGTAAGGATCCTCATTGTGTGCTCAAATTGACAAAATAAGGATGCTCATTATATGCTCAAGTTGACAAATAAGGATGCTCATTTTGTGCTCAAATTTACAAGTAAGGATGCTCACTGTGTACTCAGATTGCCGTAGAGTGTTCTTGTGTACCTGCCTCGGAAGTAAAAGCGTACAATGTGGTGTGAACACACTGGAATACCAAGTATTACCAAGCAAAATGTTTGATGCATTCCTCCCTGGTTGGGCAGGCTAGGGGCTGTGTGTTGAGTATTGTCGCCGATCCGAGAGGCCAGCCTTGCTTTCCAGTTGGAAACTGGTTTTTGCGTGCACATTGTTGCTTTCGCAGGGAGACTGATCAAAAGGAGAAGGAGTTGATGAAAGAGGTGAGCTAGATTTGTTAGTGTTGTTGGTGTGTTGGTTATGCACATGCATGTGTGAATGTACATAACAGTTGTGCTGAGGTACAAGTGTGTGCACATGTGCATGGGTGAGTGCAGAATTGTAGCAAAGTCTAATTCTCGTCTGAGATTCCTTTTCTGGGTAGGTTGTGTCAATAGCCATGCACTTCTTGATGCACATTGTTCTCTGCTGTAAGTCGATACACAGTGAGTCACTATGTTTAGGTTTCAGGTAGTGGATGTTTGTGTGTGCGTGCGTGCGCATGTACTAGTGGCTGTTCAAAGTTGTAGCTGGGAATATGCCAGGAGCATGGGAACTTCCCACCTGCTTGCCAAATGTGTGATGTGTGCATGTACTAGTGGCTGTTCAAAGTTGTAGCTGGGAATATGCCAGGAGCATGGGAACTTCCCACCTGCTTGCCAAATGTGTGATGTGTGTTTCACTATGTATGAGCTCAGGTGTATCGTCGGCGCACAGACTTGCTATCAAGTGTTGTCGGCGAGGAGTTCTGTGAACCAGTTAGTACAGCCTGCATTCAATATAATGTACCGGCTCCAGCTGACATACTAATCTGTACTTTATGTCCAAGGCACTCTATATCCAAGGTAAAATGACTGCCTAAGAAAAGTGCCTCGTATCCAATGCAAAGACTCAAGTATGTTATATCCATGGTACTTAGTATGTTATATCCATGGTACTCAGTATGTTATATCCATGGTACTTAGTATGTTATATCCATGGTACTTAGTATGTTATATCCATGGTACTTAGTATGTTATATCCATGGTACTTAGTATGTTATATCCATGGTACTTAGTATGTTATATCCATGGTACTTAGTATGTTATATCCATGGTACTTAGTATGTTATATCCATGGTACTTAGTATGTTATATCCATGGTACTTTGTACTAACCTTTTACTGTACTGCAGTATCCAGTGTGTGTCAGTGCTGTCTGCTAGAACTGTCCTATTGGGAATTCAAGCAATTGCCTGACACATGTACAGCATCTTCATATGTAGGGTATTGAACTCAGGTTTGTTTCTGTAGTAAGGTGCATTTGTAGAGATAGAACACGATCCTGTAGCCGTCTCTCTTTCTCTATCAGCTTTGAAAATGCATATGCAGCAAAGTTAAGGCGTGTTATTCGGTTTTCATGTGGCCGGCTTCACTTCATGCTAAATCCTACCTTACACCGGTGCACAAGGTTTTAATGTGCCACGCCATGGAAACCGGCCTCATCATTGGGTGTTGCATGGCGTCCCACGGAAGCAGAAAGGTAGTTGTTGACCTCCCTGATGTGCAGATCAGTTAAAATAATATAATAAGCTCCATAAACAGAAACTCTGATTCCTGGCCTTGGCTTGTCATGTACTTATCGTAGTCAATGTGCTATGTGTGCCCACAGCCTAATGCGGACAGTGCACGGATAGTCCTTCTTGGAGAGATTGGTAAGCTATGCACGCATATATGCGCATGTGTGTGCGTATGTGCAGTCAATTCATAGACTAGGTTCCTTGAACAGAACAACAAACCCAGGAGAAATTGTTCAGCATGTGCGACGGCTAAAGTTATCCAGTCAACCTTGCAAATAACGACCCTCACCCTGCCATAAGAAAATTGTTGTTATGCGTGAGTTGTTGTTATGCGTGAGTTGTTGTTATGCGTGAGTTGTTGTTATGCCCACGGTTTTAAAAGTATGCCCGCATCAAGTGGTTACTTGGCCTGAACTGATAGTGTTGTTGTTCTTACTTGGCCTGAACTGATAGTGTTGTTGTTCTTACTTGGCCTGAACTGATAGTGTTGTTGTCATCAAGTGGTTACTTGGCCTGAACTGATAGTGTTGTTGTTCTTACTTGGCCTGAACTGATAGTGTTGTTGTCATCAAGTGGTTACTTGGCCTGAACTGATAGTGTTGTTGTTCTTACTTGGCCTGAACTGATAGTGTTGTTGTCATCAAGTGGTTACTTGGCCTGAACTGATAGTGTTGTTGTTCTTACTTGGCCTGAACTGATAGTGTTGTTGTTCTTACTTGGCCTGAACTGATAGTGTTGTTGTCATCAAGTGGTTACTTGGCCTGAACTGATAGTGTTGTTGTTCGTAAGTTGTTATATACCATGTACGAGGTTGTTCTCGGGATTGACTGTACTATGGTTTAGCATGGCCTAAATGAGCACCAGTTGTACTGCAAAGTCAGGTGTGACGGGTTATGCTACACTGTATCCAGTGTAGCTTGGCCCGCCCTCTACTTGGACAGGTTGCTAACACAGGTTGCTAACACAGGTTGCTAACACAGGTTGCTAACACAGGTTGCTAACACAGGTTGCTAACACAGGCAGCAAGCAGTCTTGATTTACTCCTCGTCTCGGTTGTGCTGGTCTTGCTCGTGATCTGTAGTTTCGGCTGAGCAATTTGACTCCAGCTCCCTGTTTGTGCACTACTTGATCAACCTACCGGAAGGTAAGAGTTCTAGTCTCAGCTACATTCTATGTGTAGTATGAATTGTGTTTTGAGTTCACGATAATGAAAGAGACAGATTTGAGCATATTGGCATGGCAGTGGGTACTATGCGGGTTGGGGAGTGCCACGGCTGTTTTTTTGTGCGATTTCACGCCACTTAACAATATGGCCGCCGAAAGTCTCGATTGGGCTTCAATGGCAAGAAAATTTGAATTTTCAAATCGTCAGAACACGAGTAGGCCATGGTTTCCCCTTGATTTTGGAGACTAGTCAGCCCGGACAGCCCGGGGAACACGCTGATCATCTGCGTCTTGTTTCAAGCTTTCCGCTCGTACCTCACATGACTGCCTTTCCTTCAAGAAACATTTGTTCTGTGTCGTGCGACTTTGGCTTCGTTCTGGAATACTCCTTGTGTCGTCGCTGACAAACTCGGCTCCGAGAAGCCCTTCCCGATTTTTTCCCAGCTTAGATCGATTTTTTCCCAGGTAGAGGACTATCCTCCGGTTGTCTTCCCCAAGTGTCATTAGAATACGCGCGTGAACTTCTAAATACGCGCGACGAGTCAGGAGCCTGTTTTCTCTTGATTTGGAAGACAAAATGGTGTGGCCCTTTAGTTGCTGTTGAGTGTAGAAGGCTGCTTCCTGCTGTAAATTGCTTAGTCGGCATGTGGGATATTGTAGAAGAAGACAGCAGCCGGCCAAGTGAGCTTGAAATTGTGATATCTACCCTATTGTGCGTTGAACGATTACGAAATGTCTAACTTGAATGTTGTACACGCGAGCACGCCAAGCAGAGGCTGACAATCACTGGCGAGATCAATCTCCAGACTGCCAGGAGTACTTCGAGCAAGTTTGAAGCGGAAAGACAGCTAACTGGGCAGGCCAGGACGCCTTTCCACCCTCTTTCTCTCTCAAATTGCCGAAAAGTCGAGTATCTCGCTCGAGCGCTTTCAAAACTTTTCTCTTGGTTTCGCGTCCCAAATCGTGGAGCCACGCGAGGATCGACATGAGTTTCTTGCAAAAATGCAAACTCATCGCGTATTTGTACTATTCGCACAATGTTACATAAATCGCACCGAACGACGCCATATTGATAAGTGCCTGCACGTGAACAGCCGTGGTGCATGATAGTGCACGTACAGTGTGTACTGTGTGTACTGTGTATTCTTTCCTATTAGAGGACTCTATAGCACAGCCCACTGTGTTCTTCAGGAACTGATTCCCTGCTGCATACTGTACTGTAATGTTCATGGCTGGTACTCGTGTTGTTAGTACATTTTTTTTGTTTTTTGTTTTTACAAAGACCACTTAAATGCCAAACATGAGATGCAGCTAGGGGTCTGCTCAATGGAATCCAATCGCATGACTGAGTCAAATGCCCTATTCCATCACACACAGCCCAGAGCCTTCACAGGTGCAGGGTTGCACATTGCCCGGCTCTCACTTTACTCATGCCAACGGATGCTATTGAGCGGCACTGTAGTATTGGCTGACAGAGGGGGGGGGGGGGCATTGATGATACACAAGCATGCAATGTAAGGGATCTCCTCCAGCACCCCTCCCCCCCCCCCCCCCCCCTCTCAATCCCCATACTAATCTAAGGAGCAATGGATCTGAACCAGTTATCTTTCACGCACAGCTCAATAGTCAAACTTTGACTATTGAGCGGTGCTTGACGTCACTGCGTTCAAGTCAGTGCTGTTGATGTTTTTGTCCTCGATGTGATTGCTCTGCACTGTTGACCAGGTTGGTACGTCACTGACAAGAACTGTCTCTCTGGCTCCACACAGTTGGCATCAACCAGTTTCTGGGACTGGGTAAGCTTTGTGTGTTAGCCACCTCACCCTGCCTCACAACTATTGTAATCTTTGGTGGTGCCGGTTCAGTGTGTGATCCCTATGACCATGTCATTGGAAAGGCCATGTGTACAATAGCATGGCAACATCTCTGCTGATATGTGGTCCAACAGGATTTTTGTGAAATTGACGGAAGCCCAACTGTCATGTGGACTGAGTGGGCCAGCCGCTTTCTACAAGTGTTAGACAGACATGCTCCTCTTGCACCAAGCCCTCGACGCAAGAAAAAATCAGTACCATGGATGAACCGCCAGTTATTACACCTCTTGACCAAGCGCAACCGGCTCCATAGGAGGTGGTTTAGTGATGGAACAGAACATTCCCACTCAGCTTTCAAGGCTGCCAGGCGGGAAGCTACCAGCTATAATAGGCAACAGAAAGAGACTTACTACCAATCCAAGTTTCGAGCTGCGTCTGGCAATACCAAACAGACATGGCACACGATCAAAGAATTGAGTGGTAAACATCGACAATCTCAGCCACCTCAATGTTCTGTTGATGCCATCCGAAACACCTTTGCAGAGATAGTAGAGGACGCCAGCCGCCCAGTGCATCTCTCATTTCCCTACGGGCCCGCCTCAAGCACTGATCTAACAGCCTTTGCGCCAGTGTCTATTGCCAGAGTGAGGAAGCTCCTCGAACGTTTAAATCCGGCCAAGTCCAGCGGTGATGATGACATTTCTGCAGCCCTTCTCCGCGCACATGCAGACGTACTGGCGCCATCCCTGACTTTGATCTTTAACAAGTCCCTGAGAGAGGGCATATTTCCTGCCCAGATGAAAAGTGCTAGGATATCGCCACTCTTCAAAGGCGGAGATCCGAGCATGCCAAAGAATCATCGACCAGTGTCCTTGTTATCGATTGCATCCAAAGTGTTGGAAAGGATAGTCCACGAGCAACTCACACGATATCTAGTCCAGAGCAATTTATTCCCGCCAACTCAATTCGGCTACAGATCCCACCACTCTACATCCGACGCACTAGTGCTAGCTGTGGAAGGTATCTGTGAGGCCCGCATGAACAAACTTAACACAGGTGTAGCCTTTGTTGATATGTCAAAGGCATTCGATAAAGTGAAACATCAAACTCTTGTGCAAGATCTGTTCGAACTTGGCATCTGCGACACGGCACTCTGTTGGCTGGTGGATTACCTCTCTGATAGAGAACAGTACGTTCAGGTTGGCCAGACTAGAAGTCTCCCGTACACCAGTTACTCAGGTGTCCCCCAGGGTTCGGTACTGGGCCCACTGCTATTTATTGTCTATGCCCGCGGCATAGCAGAAGAACTATCGCCGTTTAATGTGGGAGCAATCCAGTTTGCTGATGACATCTCTATACGATGTAGCAGGGAGTCTGCGGAAGCTGTTTCTGCACACCTTTCAGCTGCTGTTCAGCACCTGGCCACCTGGCTGAAGGGCCGTGGTTTAATTCTTAATGAAAGAAAGACACAGATATTGCCTATTCCCCCATCCCCATCTCAAGCACTTGACCTGCATGTCATTTGTAATGGTCAGACGCTGCCTGTTGTGAAAACGGCCAAGTATCTTGGCCTACATTTCGACTCAGACATGAGCTGGAACACCATGACAAGCCATGTTGCACGCCGCGTTGCCGCTAAGATTGGGCTACTAAATCCAAGTGCAGCATGTTTGCCTTTTTCTTGCCGTGTTCAGTTTTTCTGGTCCTTTATACTATCAGAATTTGACTATGCATCTGCTGCCTATGCCCCCTTCTTATCGTCTTATCAGGATAAGCGCCTAAATAGTTTGTTCAAACGTGCGGCTCGCTCGGTGTGCAGGGCAGCCCCTCGCACTCACACGGCTCCCTTACTTGAACGCATGAATGCCCATACCCTCAGCATATACACCCACATGCACATTCTTGTATTCATTTGGCGCTGCCTGAACAAATCTTCAAGTACTCTGTTTGCAAGCTTTTTCACCCGTAGTCCCTCTCTCCGAACACGAGGAGGGAGCAGCAAGTTACTCATCATTCCTGTCTCCCCCACTGCATCCTCAGCTAAGCGCATTAGCCATGCTGGAGCTATCCTGTGGAACCAGCTCCCAGACACAGCACGCCTCGAAAGAAAGCGCTCCACTTTCAAATCGCTAAGCCTGGCCTTTCTGTTAGGCAGTACCGTCAACTAGGATGAACTCATCTGCTTCACTACCTCTCTCTCTCTCCCTCTCTCTCTCTCTCTCTCTCTCTCTCTCACTCACTCACTCACTCCTTTCTTCCCGGTTGCCGTGCTTGTGACTTTTTTTCCCCTGCTGCCGTGCTCATATTGGTTATCTAACTACAGCTGTATCCTCTTCTTGGTTCTGTTTGTCCGCTTATTATTATATATTTTTCTTTTCTCTTATTATCAGTGGGACCATTGTCATTAGGTTTAGGCCTGTTTTGGAACTCCACTTTAAATAAAGCCAAACAACAACAACAACAACATGTGTTTGCTTGTAGCCGCACACAGCAACTGTTCCACCATTTCATAGGTCGTCAGCACAGCTCAAAGAACCGGATCTCGTCTTACCATAGCACAATAGCTCACTCTCCATGCAACAAAGCGTGTTTTTAAGGTAGCTCGGACCTAAGTTATATCGCGAAAAATATCTAGGTCAAAAACCACTTTCTGTCCGATTTTGTTCAAATTTTCAGGGTTGAAGCATCATGACGGTAAGCTGTTAATCCCGAAAAACCACATTTCACCTGCTATCAAGTCCAACTGCAATTTTGTAAAAACGCTGATGTATTTTTCAACTCGGATGTATTTTGATAATGTCAATCAGCCTCTCTCCTTTTTTTCTATGACATCAGTTTCTTAGCAATGGTGTGTGCATAGGTGAGTGCATGTGTGTGTGTTCATGTGTGCGTGCGCATGTGTGTGCGTTCGTGCATGTTCGTGCATGTGTATTGATTGGTACTGTGTTGTGATGTGTACAGAGTGGTCTAGTCACGTTTGCCTTGCCGTTGGACATTGAGTTTATCTACTGCGACTTGGCTAGATCAGAAGGTACGGGAGGAGGTCGGTCATTTCATTCAATTCCCCTTTGTTTCTCCTTTGTTTCGTTGGACGTTGCAGTACAGAGACCAAGGAGGGATAGTTTCAGTGAGTGAGTTGTGATGAGATTGATCAGGGCCTGCAAGGGAACCTACACGCTAATATGGTATACGCCATGTCCAGGGAAAGTCATACTGAGTCTTCACCCCCCCCCCCCCCCTCCCCCCCAGAAGGGAATGAGCATTGCACAGTAATTGATCAGATTGTTTTGTGAAGACTTGGCTGATGTACTGTAGAAAGTCTAGCTCTGCTTCCAACACTGTTGTGTTTCCAGATCAACTCATCCAATGGCCGGAGATATTCTTTGAAGTTTGCTCAATTGACTTTTGGTCTCGGCAACATGTGGAGGGATACTCAAGTTTGAGAATCCCCGACACCCCGGGTACGTACTGCAGGCTTTCGGGTACAGGTTTGGCTACTATTTTATCGGTGTTAAATACTTGGGCTGAAACGATTATATCGGTTATCCGTCTAATCGATCATTGTAACGAAGCGATTTCGATTATGCTGTCTGCTTTGATTACGCAATTACGGGATGCACCGTCTAAAAATAAAATAAAATGTGTACAAGGTGTCATGTAGTACAGCTGTAGTAGGATGGGTGCTCTGCTGTTTGAAATTTCCTTGAATTTCCGTTCAAGAATCTGAACTATCATGTGATCACACACAGGCCGCGGTGTAAGGTGTACGGTGCATGGTGGAATAGAACTGGAACAGTGGTAGTAGATACTCTCTCCTTCTTGGCAATGGACAGCGTTGCCATCATGCCACGCAGATAGGCCGACCGATTAACTTTCTGAATCAAGTCGCCAGCCTTGCGTATGTACTTTGTCACATCGCAAGGGTGGACAGTCCGCAAGCTCCAGATGAACTGGTGCACGAGAGCACCCACCGTTACGCTGCATTCGGATGCAAAACAACCCACTCTGTGCTTCTTGTCATGCCGGATAATCAATGATCGTGACCGTGATGATAACCTTCCAATGGAAACTACCCCAGGGAACAGGGGAGTGCGCTGCTGGCCTCTGGCAGTGTTCTACATGCCAACCAATCAACAAACACTCCTTATGTGGTCAATATGGCAATATATGGAGCAAGTGATCGCAACACAATGTTACAAGTATGAATTGTGTACAAGAAGGCTGGGGAACATTTTTCATCAGTGAATCGCCGTTGGATGCGATATATGCTAACAAATCCGCGCCACCCTCCACGTCTCACCACCAACTTGCCCTGTTGTTGCCTCGGCGTCATAGCGTGGTACCTTCAAACACTGCTTAGGCACTTTGGGTTGTGAACTGAGTGCTCCAGTGGGGTTTGCTGAGTCAGTCGACCGAATGCACTCTCAGACGGTGCTGGATCCGTTGCATCCTCGTTCCCATATCCTGCCGAAATTTGTCGAGCCGTATCTTGGTGAACGCCGAGGGAAAATTCGATACCATTCACTTCCAAGTCTGGTCGGCGGGAGAGTGCGTCCGCTATGTTGCTCTTCCCCGGCCTAGGATGGACTGAGAAATCATAGTCAGCCAGGAATTCCACCTACCTAGCCTCTTGTTTCGTAAGGTTTGGTTTTGTTCGCAAATACTCAACACCCATGTTGTCAGTGAATACATCTAAGTGGCGGAAGAGATGAATCCGCCGCCAGCATCTCAGGCATTCTCAGCGCATAGACGACTGCTATTGTCTCTCTCTCTCGGCAGCTCAGTGTCTGCTCCAGGATTGTAGGACAGCCGGGTACACGTGTACCTGGCGCAACCATTTCAACCGGGTCGGAGCCGGGTACACATGTACGCCTAACATGTACGCCTAATGATATAAAGGCTAATGGATAAACCGCATTTAGAAAAGAGAGGACAGGAATTAGAAAATTACGAAAGAAGAAGAAGTATCTGACACATACATGTACAAGCCATGTAGTCAGTCCTTTCAAAGTTCGAAAGTGTACAGTACCAACCGGGTCACAGGTGACCCGGTACTATATTTTCCACCAGGTCCAAGCGCCGCCCAACCGGGTGGATTACTCGGCTCACCCGGCGCTGGAGCAGACACTGCAGCTGTGTAGTTGTGTTTTGCAACCGGCACCTTCTGACTGACGTACGATACGGGGTGCCACGACTGATCATCTGCTTGCAGCAAAACACCAGCAAAGTCGCTGGCATCTGTATCGACCCGAAACGCCTTAGCTACATCCGCAAGCCGTAGTACTGGTGCCTCTAACAAAGCCTTCTTCAAAGACTCAAGCGTGCGCTGTTGCAAGAAGGCATGTCACCTACGTGGGAAAGCGCAAGTCGCTCAACCTACATGCTAAGCACATGGGACAAGACACTGGCCAAACCACGTTGTATCAAAAAGGGCGTGACAGCGCGAGTCAGCACAGAGCTGCTCACTACGTAGATCCTGCTGTCACAGGACTATCAGGCAGCAGTCGTCAATCTCCACCACCCGTCGTCTCACCTAGCTTCAGAATGTGTTACGAGAGATAGGAGAGTCGCCAGGAAGCATCACATCCATCTTCAGGAAGTGGAAAGAGCAAGTGGCATGGTCCTTGGTTGGGGGAAATGCTGGACGTCTGATTTGTCCCAACCAAGATTTCAGCATTTTGTTCGTCACTATTTTCGCTTGTCAGCTGATATCTCCGCACTCCAGCTTTCTCCTGTCGGTGTCACATCCCAGTACACAACCGAGAGGACTACTAACAAACAGTTCACTGCACTAACAGCATTGAACACACCCCTTCTTTCACTTCGTGAATACGATAAACCAATTGAAAATGACCAAATTCTGCACCTTCTCTGTGGTGGAGCTAAGCCTTTCATACGTCATCACTGCGCTGGTCGCTATTGCAATGTGAGTATACAATTGGCGATGTGGCAAGTTTGGCTTATCGTATGGAAGCGAGAGATATGCCTTTCGAACCGATATCAAATTGTCTTTCTTCTGGACCCTACTCGAAAATTGATGCACTTCCCCTTTAAAACCATCCTCTGCTACCAGTGTAACCGGTGAGACGTTTTGGAAGGTAAAGGCTGCTGTCTATTAGGAACATAGCCATGATACAGGATGCAGGTGAGATAGTATGAGTCAGAGGAGTGAGTATGACAAAGCGTGTATGGATGAGGTGTGACGCCCTGTTACACCTGTGCACTCTGCCTTCAAATCAAGCACGCCACATGTTCAGCTACCTCCAGCAGTTGACATCTACGATTCCCAGTCGATTCAATAGCTCTGAAGTCTGAATAGAGTACTGGGCATTTGAAATCGACATTTCATTTCATCCCCCACTAGCAGCAGGATATTGATGAAGCAAAACTGAAACTATTTGTTTCCAAGTGTAGCGGACTGTTAAACCGCTCTGCAAATAAAGCTCATCACATAATAATAATTTGTTGGTTCGTTGTGTTTGTTGGAATTCACAAACCGAACGGGCTGCCGTCTAGATTTATATGACAAGGAAGCAAATGAGACCCGAGTAACCCAGACATAGCGAAACTTGGGGAGACACAAGTAAGAAGAGAATCAGGAAAAAACTCTTATCAAAGGAAAAAGAACGAAATAGTGATAGCGAAAAAAAGAAAAAAAGGAGAAAGAAAAAGAGGAGATAAATCATAGTCGAAGGGGCATGAGCACTGCACGGTGGCAGGACACAACAGATACTTTCTTACATACCATGTCATACAGTAGCATGCACGCCTGTAAGCATAGACACACCCACACACACCCTGGCAATCTTGTACAATGACTATGTCACTATGCACATCCATCCGGTGACATTGTGCACCGTGGCATCCATCACTCATCATTATCACAATGTGATGGATGTGTACAACTGTGATGGATTTACATAATGACATAGTCATTGTACAATATTATGTCATGTTCAAGCCACCGATCACCACTTGCTAAGCGACAGAAGCTGCACTGTGCAGCTCGGACATACTAATCAGCGCATTGGTGAGAAGTCATAGCTAACACACCGAGTATTGTCGTCTCGGGACTCGGCACTTTTCAAGCGGTAGCGTTTTTCAAGTTTGGGCTGGAATGTGTCGAATAAACTTCAAACCCAGTACCTGTTACCCCGCATGTGTGTATGTATGTATGCCCCTGAGCAAGAGTGAATGTGTCAGTGCAAGCATGTTTATATTGAAGATTGTTGCTGTATCACGGGTAAAAAGCTGCACTGCTATGATCTCCCAGTGCCAATGTTTAATTAGCAACATGATTTGCTTACTCTACCGGTGTTCTGCATATCACTGCCCATATAACAGGTATGCACGAGTTCCAGCTCAACTCCTGGCGTCCAATCAACAGTTCCAGCAAAGCGTTGATGCAGGAGTTCTTTGTTGGTGGTACACCGCAGCTACAAGATCTAACCTACACATCTGTTCTCAAGTCTTCAAAGGTACCGTAGAAAAACTGAAGAACTCCAAATCTACAATGCCGCTCAATGGAATCCGATCATGTGATTCAAGTACGTGCCCTGCACTGTGCAGGGCACTTACTGGACTGACGCAATCGTATTTCATTGTGTAACACTGTATTAGTTCTGAACAGGTGCACTGTAAGATCTCATGTGGGTTCGTGCCATCACTTTTCCCTACGCCCGCGTGTGCATGTGGCCTTGTAGTCGTGTGCATCCTCGTGTCTCACTGTGGCATGTCTTGTAGTTGTGCCAGGCCCGGCAGTGTTTCTGGGCTTGCTAGCGCAGTAAATGCACGAGTGTCCCTCTGTGTCTGCTCCTCAACTGCACTTCTCCGAGGTCGGTCACTTATTTTCAGAATCCTCTGGATTTTATACCGGAACCCTGCAGTTCAGCCGCAAGGCACCTGAACTTACCACTCGGTCAGGGTGCACCCACTTGGGACCATGCATTTGTACCAGGCAGAAAAGTGCCGGCATAATGTGCAATTTGCTCCATGTCTTTTTGTGTGTGTTATCGATGTGCTCTCTTGTCTGTGCTGTCATGTCATTGGTAGGAGAATGGACGCCTGAGTAGGTATGGATTCAAAACGGAAACAACCGGTCGTCTGAACCTGCGTATGAGCTGCGTGCACCAGAGCTGTTTGATCCGTGAGCGACAAAAGCAGCAGAAGATACTGCAAATGGCTCAGAGTAGCAAGTAAGAAAGACTTAATATTTGTTTTGTGTGGTATGTTCACTTGACGTGTTGTTCTTGCTGCCTTTTGTGTCCAGATGACCTACATGTACATTTATGTGTGTTTCAGTACTGGTATGTGCATGCTTGTGTGATTATGGTCGCACACGTCTTTCTTCTCTTCTTAGACTCCTCCTGACTTTTCTTTCATTCTCCTGAGTGGTTACCAACAGCCAGTGCATGCCGGAGTATGTGGTGTGATGTGTGTGCGGAAAAAATATGAAAAAGACCAAAAAGTAAGGATTCACTGGCCAGAAAAAGCCACTTCATAGCTGTGTGGTGTAGACCAGGCTGAATAGTGGCGGTTAATTCTTCAGCCTTGCAAGCTGTTGAATGGTGCAATCCCAGCACAAGCTGCTATGGCTTCTGCTGTAGCATCACTATCATCGCCTCCGGCGATGGGCGTCCAATGGTCCAATGGTGTGTTTGTGTGTGTGTGTGTCTGTGGTCTTTGACTGCATCTATGTGTGTTTGTGTATTCGTGTGTGTGGGTCCGTGCCGGTGTGCGTATCTGTATGTATGTGTGTGTGTGTGTGTGCGTGTGTGTGTGTGTGTGTGTGTGTGCGTGCGTGTGCGTGCGTGCATGTGTGTGCGTGTGTGCGCGCGCGCGTGTGTGTGTGTGTGTGTGTGTGTGTGTGTGTGTGTGTGTGTATGCATGTGTGCAAATAGGGCCTCATCCTCTGCAGGCAGTTCTTCCATGCAGGGAGTCCTAGGTAGGTGAATGGAAAGCATAGACAGTTTCTTTTGTTAAATATTAGTTTATGTCTTACATTTATGTCTTATGAATGCATAGATGTCCCAATGGAAGCAGAGAATGGTATACAAATCTGAGTTGCCTATTAATAATGCAGGCGTGTAGCACCATCGTTGGAGGTTGTCCGGTAGGAGAGGGGTCGGGGGTTGGAGGGTGTGCCCGCCGGGAAATATTTTGAAATTAAAGGGGAAGTTAAGGCAAAAATTAAAATTTCACCAGTTGTAGTCTTCGGGGTGCTGAGTCGAATGGTCTTGGTCCGAGAAAGCTGAGACGCTCCCTTCCTACTTGAATCCCAATCGAACTCGCGCACTTCCACCGAAACAGGGTGACTGCGCCCTACTAGATGGGGATTTGTATGCAAAATGTCACTAAAAGCGCCGTTTCGTTCTTATAAAAGCACGGATGACCGCGATTGGCCCATATGTTGTAGTCTTTTGGACGCTGAGTCGACTGGTTTTGGTCCGAAAAGGCTGCGATGTAGCGTTCCTCCTTTATTCCCAATCGAACATGGTTGAACAAGTGGTCACGTGCTCCTCGGTGCCCAAATCACCTGGTCACACCGCCAGCAGGCGACAACTTTCACACCAAGGTTCAACTCGAGTTCAACTCGAGTGACAGGACTGCACCCAAAAAAGGTCAAACAGGCTAGTAAGTTGTACCCTGCAGGCACGGTGACCAGGTGACTGGTGTACGCAGGAGCACGTGACCGCTTGTTCAACCATGTTCGATTGGGAATAAAGGAGGAACGCTGCATCGCAGCCTTTTCAGACCAAAACCAGTCGACTCAGCGTCCAAAAGACTACAACATATGGGCCAATCGCGGTCATCCGTGCTTTTATAAGAACGAAACGGCGCTCTTATTGACATTTTGCATACAAATCCCCATCTAGTAGGGCGCAGTCACCCAGTTTCGGTGGAAGTGCGCGAGTTCGATTGGGATTCAAGTAGGAAGGGAGCGTCTCAGCTTTCTCGGACCAAGACCATTCGACTCAGCACCCCGAAGACTACAACTGGTGAATTTTTTATTTTTGCCTTAACTTCCCCTTTAAGGTTCAAAAATCCTGCATTCTGGGTACTTTTTCGTTGTCGGGCGAAGAAGTGGTCCGGCCAAAGCCGGACCAGCTGCTACGCCACTGTAATGGTGTGCTTAGCGGATGGTCCACACAGACTAAGCATTCATCAATCTAAGGCATTGAAAAGGGAAAAAAGACTGAAGAAAAAGTTGACTGTCACCATCACGACTCGAACCGGGTAGAGGGGACGGTTTCAAATAGGACATAGGTTGCAAACCGGAACGGACTCAATATTCACTTTTTCTCTTGGTATTTTGATTAGAAAACATGTCACAGTGAGACTACGATGTGTTATACTCCGAGCCAAAATTTCATGGCTCTGCGATGACCAGAAGCGCCATACCAAGCAGGTGAGTTTTTGACGTGTTGCTTCGCACTGCGACTTGAGTTTTACGACTTTCGAAAAATCAACTTCTTGTCGCAGGTAAACAGCGGCTCGCCTCTCGCCAATAAAGCACCGCATACCAATCAAAACTAATGGAAGCACACACAAGGCTTATTGTTACTCTGTACTGGCCGTCGTGGAGCGATAGCAATTACCTAATTTCAGACCCAGAGTGAATTTGACGTGCACTCTAAAACGTGTCCAGTTTGGAGCCACCTCTGATTTGAACTTTTTTGAAGCGAAAAATTGGGCAACTTGGAGGCAATGGGACAACACAAAGGAGTGGCTCAGTTCGATTGACTCTGGCCCCAGAGCAAACTTCAACATGCCAGTTTCCTTCCACAAACATATTTCGAGTGAAAAATCAACGCTGATGATCGGTTTGGGTCTATACAAATTTGGCTGTCAAAGCGTCCCGGTATCGAGCCGTCCCCTCTACCTTAGCTAAGGGCCAGCGATGCCCTAGCAACTAAGCCATGTGTCTCTCAGTACATGACACAACAGTGTATAATTATAATCATGTAATTGTAAGTGTTTGTTGAAACACCATGGTCGGAAAAAGTGCTGTCGAACTCCCACATTGCATGCATACAAGTGTGTGTGTGTGTGTGGGGGGGGGGGGGGGGGGGTGCATGCATGTGTGCGTGCGTGTGTGTGTGCGTGTGTGTGCGTGTGTGTGTGTGTGTGTGTGTGTGTGTGTGTGTGTGTGTGTGTGTGTGTGTGTGTGTGAGAGCGTGTGCGTGTGTGCATGTGTATGTCTGGGTATTGGTCCTTGCTGCCTCCCAAGTCTTTATTATACATTTTGATTGCACTTGTGTCCACCCGACAGAGGCATTCCAGCTTGCCAAGAAGCGTATGCAGCGAGCGAGGCAAGGCCTGCTATGATCTTCTGCAACGTTCACCAGCATTGTACTGGTGAAGGTAGCATTATCACCATGGTGGCCAATGCAAGTTACATGTATATCCAGCAAATGTACAGACAGTACACACACTGTGTACGTACACATGTACAGACAGTACACACACTGTGCACGTACACATGTACAGACAGTACACAGTGTGTACGTACATGTACACATGTACAGACAGTACAGGGGACCACCGACCCTCTATGGATGATGATCGCGATGTGGTCAACTTGGACTTGTTGCGATGGTAATGTATGAGCATTCAAATGATTGCTCCTTGAACACAACATGATACTTTATGCAGTTCCGCCGGAATTCCAATGGCTGAACATGGCGTGATGACTCTCTGAACTATTTTATCCACAGGGGAGCGTGAGCTCTTTCTTTCTCTCTCTCTCAGGAATCGACAGTTTTGTGATTAGTTAGGACTAATCATTATTTTGAAATAACACTGTTGTCTACTGATAGGGTCCAGCGGATTCTGCCGGCAGAAAAATTGGCAGAATTCGGTACTTTTTCTGGTAAGTTTCATGCATGTTTGGTATGTGGATAAAGAAATGGAGCAGAATTCGAGGAATTGCCCGCCATAAGGTTTGTATGGTTCTGCCAATTTTACTGCTTTTCGAGCAGAATCCGCCACCTTTTCGAGCAGAATCCGCCGGTCCCTATCTATTGATAGGTTGCACAGACCGACCTGGTTCTACCACTAGGACCTGCCGGTAGGTCCATCATACACAGACATGCTGCATGCAGGGTTCTAGCCAAAGGGGGCGGAGTGGAAGGGGGCGCTGCCCCCCCCCCCCCCCCCCTGGGAAAAGTGCCCCCTACTCATTTGTCGATGTTTGTGTTTTTTTCATGCCATTCAACAAAAATGCAGTCGATAGTCACTACTAGAGAGTTCATAAAGGCGCATTTGTGAGGGGTGAAGTCGGGGGTTCACCCTGTATGTTACATGTACATTTTGCATGGCAAGACAAATTTGAAAAAAGTGGGTTACGGGGTAACTGTTTCTCATGCCCCCCCCCCCCCCCCCTACTACAATTTTGACCTGGCTAGAACCCTGTGCATGGCCTGTGCTCCAACATTTTACTTATAACTTGACCCTAAACGGTTGCTAGGTGACCGATGAAGGAATTCACAAATTTTTGAGGTGATCCCACAAGGTACGGTACTAGGAAACTCCATGGCAACAGCCCATGGTAACGGTGGAAGTGGAGTATGGAATTTTGCACTCCACTGTCATGGCAAAGCTGACTCGGAAAGACAGTCCCACCATGCATGATCGATCTGCTTTGGTCAAAATACCGCGCACGGCAAACTTTTGGAATTACCGAAATAATATGGTTCATCAGAATCAAATCCTGTGACTTTTTCCTAATGTTGCTTCATGTTGCGTCTGCCATATACAACATGTTGCAATATGTTGAAAGAGTTTTGAAATGAAACCGTGTGCATGCTACTACTTGGGGAGAAGATCATCATGCCAAGCAAAGCTCACGAGCACTTTAGCCAAATTTGAGAAGCACAACTTTTCTATCTGCACACGAAAAGTAGTTGCATTCGTCAGTTACTATAGTTACAGCTATGGTTGAATGTCCTGGATATCTTAATGGTAACTTAGAGAATCATCAAGCAATCGATTAGCTACATAGATTAACCATAGTTTGGGTACTATGTGTACATCTCTCTGGCAAACAGTCTCTTACTAGGCTACCCATCAAGTCGGCTGGGGAAATCCGAGCATCACAGTGGCAGCAGAAAATATAATGTGAAACATCATTGATCAAGTCATTGCAATCTGGAGGCAGTGGCATTTATTTTACTTGCTACTTCAAGTTTTTACCATAATGATAACTGATGACTTAGATAAGCGTAAACATGAGTAGCAGTTGCTGCAAAAGTAAAGAGCCTGTATATTTTGTTTAGCGTTACTAATATCTCTTCTCATTTATCGTCAAGGAGGGAAGGCGCAGAATGTGGTCCATATTGGTTATGTATCTAGTTCCCATCCGTGAGGCTGTGCTGAGCGCAACTGCTCTACATGATAAGGATAGCAAATCCGTGTGTGTGGGTTTTGTTTGTATGTGTGTGTATCTGTGTGTGTGGGTTTGTGTGTGTGTGTGTATCTGTGTGTGTATCTGTGTGTGTGTTTGTTTGTATGTGTGTGTATGTGTGTGTATATTCTTCATATCATCTAGTAGTACATTGCAGCTGCACATGTACATACTTGTGGCGGTTGTAACACTTGTAAACGTGTCGTTACATGTTTGCTGGTGGACGATAACAAACATCATGCACAAAACACATAGTGAATCTCCAGCTATCACCAGGACACGAAGGCCCAGAGTGTTATCTCCAGCTATCACCAGGACACGAAGGCCCAGAGTGTTCTTGATGCAAAGGATATCGGCATGAAAGCGGCACTCTCCTAACTCTGTGTGTGTGTGTGTGGTCGTCTCTCTGGCTGATCAGAATTCAAAGTCAGGATCGGGCTGTGGTGATTCTATCTCTTCCAGGAGATCTTCTTCTGGAACCATGGCCGTTCTCAGCTTCTTGCACACTTTCTTGACAGTTTTCATCGTGTTCATGTAGTACAGGTGGGTCTGCACCGGTGTGGAGACAATTTCCCGCAGCTGATTCTCAATGATGAGGTCGGTGACGCCGACGACAAAGATTTCCACGCCCTTGTCAGTCTTGAGGTGATCGGCGGCTTCACCTGGTGTTTCCGACTGAGCTGTGCCGTCCGTTATCAGCAGAATGACCTTGCGACTGCAGTCTCTGGAGCCCTTTGCGGTGGTGAACGCCTCGGACGCGCTTTCCAGGGCGTGAGCAATGCGCGTCATGCCGCCCGTTGAAATGCCCGTGCTGTTCCTGAACATTCGTCTGTAGCACCGCTTGGCGCGGCACGCGTTGAAGTCGATCTCCAGCGTGGCTCTGGTTGCAAAGGTGAGCAGAGCTACGCGTGTGGAGTCCTTGTCCACGCTGGGGATTCCTCTACTGATCAGGTTGGCCATGCTGTTGCGCAACAGCCGGAAGTGGCTTGTCGTCATGCTGCCTGACCTATCCAGCATGATGAGGAAATCTACCGGACGGTGAGCTGGGTTCTCTGGGCATGTGTTAAACGGGTTGACCGCATCCCCAAAGTTGAACAAGAGTATGTTGCCTGCCTGGCGTTTTTGACGACTCGGCGCGTTTGCGGGCTGGTTGCCTGCGACTTCATGATTGCTCCAGCCAAACAGGCGATCAATGACATAGTACTGGAATGACCTGGTGATTTCATTCTTGCTCAGTTGCTCACCTGTGCACAGAAAATGAAAACGAATCACAACCAACCAACACCATGTTAGACGAACGTGTCTTTTGCGACAAAAATGCCAGTTCTGTTTGTTTTTCTTGCCTGTTTCTGCGGTGGGGCACTTTTAAAATCCGCACTGAGTCTGTGAAATCCCACCATGCCTTTCTTCCTACCAGGTACATGATTGTACAGTACATGAATGAATGCCTGTACATCATGTAGATCTACTAGTACCGGTATATAAGTGATACACGAGTGACGATGACTCGTGATACTATGTTGTGATGGGCACTGACTGTGACCACAAACATAAATTACGTATTAAATACACTATAATGTGATTATAGTGCATGTACAAGTCGTACAGTGCATTAGCGTATGAGCCCTGAGAGCTGAGGTCGAAATAGCTACCGTTCGCTGTTCGCTGCAGCTGTCCGGACTCGAGATTGAGTGCAGAATGTATTTTCGTGTGCAATTAAAACATGTTGAGCATATGAACCAGCATACAACACGGGCGGTTGAGACAGCTCACTTGAGACAGCATACGAGTTGATGCGCAAGGTTCTTCAGAGCACTTTCACTTTGATGTTTGAGGTTCATTACTATCTGCTTGAAACTGGTCTCCCTCTGATAGAGTACGGTGTAGTTGGGTGTGTTCTCTCCAAGGTTTTAAGAGTTCTGCATGTGGGCTGCTTCACTTCATGTATTCTTTGCGAGATCTGTGACGTGCAAGTAGTCTTTCTCTTGCGAAACTGCATGGTGGGATTAGACACTATCCCTAGCTTATTCTGTTCAAGACGACGGAGCATGCGCTGTGCAAGCCGATGGACCGGGCTATATCACTTCAGACGCTGACGAAGTCAGGCAGCATGCCATCTAATTTGCTGTTTTCACAAGTATTTCAGCGCATCATCATCATCATCCTAGGTAGTACACACGCCTGTCATCCAAAGTAGCATACGGAAGTAAGTAAATGCCTGTCATCCAAAGCATTTGTTTAGTAAGGAAACCATTTCCACAGTTTCCACCGTGAGCTAAATCCATTCCTCAATAGCCTCTGGGGTTTTGCCTTTTTATTGGCTGGCAACATTGCCAGGGGATCCTCTTGTTTGTAGAACGTTTGTACTTCACTAGAATAGTCATTGGCTGGTGTACGCTGTGTGGAGATTCTAAACCCCTGCAACACCCCAGGGGGGCATGGTCACAGTTAGCAAGCCAAGATGAAACAACTCTGAAGTGCTTCAATCGCGTTATCGCTGCTGCCAATTTTCATTCCACAGCCGAACGCCTGGCGACACACCTGGGTAGAGAGAACTCTGCATCATCAGAATCCAGTGGCAGTGACGGACATTCATTGACACATAGGTAATAGTATGTATGCACTGCGACCATGATCATCCGATGATAAACATTCAGCTGTACCCCTTGTCATGATGTCTCAAAGGAGTAGCTACACTGATATACATCAAGACTTAGTGTACTAGTAGCATCCTTCCTGGAGCCCCTGTGGCGGCCGTTGCACTGGGTAAGGGTTTCTCTGGATGATTGTGAAGATTCTGGACTGAAGCGTCTGGAATTCTTGTTGAGTTCAGGGACTCTCTTCTGGTGCAGTTTCTGGATGACAACTACTTCGAAGTGCCATTTAGGACACTTTGATTGCCCAACTTTTCAAGAGCCTCCTCATTCCGTGACCATTGCGTGAACTAACCAATGTGTTCCCACACTCAACGACAGCCAGGAAAACTGTGCGCAACCCCTGGCTAGCTGTCAGTGTCCGGGACAAAGCCACTAAACACCTGTGACCTAAGAGGTTAGAGTTTTGGTAAGAAAACAACTGCTGATCAAGAAAGCATTGTTGTCGTTCATGACGGGTACAAAGATGGACATGAACACACTTCAAGTGCTTCGTTTCCAGACTAGTGCTGTGAGTACCAGCGACGGTCATTGCATGGAAAGAAGGTTCTAACACAGTCTGAATGAACTGGTGAAAGCGGATCGTTGTCTTTGATCTTCAGCCTTGCACAGCACGGGGTAACTTTCTTTTAAAATTGATAACAAAATGCCAGTACATGTACTTGCTAGTCGTTGCTCACTGCACTGTCACTACTGATTGAAAAAAAGCATTGTGGTTCATCCTGCAACACCTACAAAAGGTGCGTAGCTAGGTCAGTCGTACCATCAACTGACTAAGCCAAGCGCCTACATTACCCAAGTCAAGAATACAGCACTCAGTAGTCCAGACCTAAGGCCTAAGCCTAAGGCCAGCTGCTCACTGAAATCCGGTCGCGAAGTAAGTGTACCTACATGTACATGTCATGCCCTTCATGTTGTGTGTGTGTGTGTGTGTGTGTGTGTGTGTGTGTGTGTGTGTTCCAAACTCAAACATGGAACCTGGAAGGGCAGGACTAAGGAGAGGGGCATTACATATCTATCGCTGCCAAGCGTGTTCGTTTTCTTTCCTGTTGATCTTCTGACTTCTGTGGCATGATGGTATTTCCGTGTAGCGAGTCTGCACGTGCTATCCGCTGTCCAGCAATCGCCCACTAAGACGTCTAAGTCAGGGTTTGTTTGCTCGCCATAGATACTGGTGTATGCACACATCATTGCCATTGCATATTGGTGATTGGTGATATCATCCGACATGAGTGTCGTTGTAACCCACGGTCGCTGTATAGACAGTGTTCAACACATCTCGCACTCCACTCAGTGATGAAGTGAAGCAGCCACTCAACTGAAGATGTAAAAATAATCCTATCCTGGCATCAAAGGTGATTCACACGCAGCCCGTGGCCTCTGCTGTGAAAGGGTTTGTTTTCAGTGCATTGCTACTAATCAACCGTTTGCGCTAATTCCATCCATCCGCGTTGTTTTCTTCACTGGATGTTCGATGAATCTTTGTGTTCACTCGCACTCTGTTCAATACTAGAGAAATGCGTGACTCCGCAGACGCACAAGTGGAACGTGTCTGTTTCTGTTACGCAGCGTCCCGAGGTCCTAGCTCTTTAACGATACCAGCCCAATAAATTACATGTACATCTGAAAGTTGGCATCATACAGCGTGGTATGGACCATTGGCATCCATTGCAATATTTTAGCTGTAGTCTACACAGCCTACTTCTACAGTATCCTTCCGCTGGCAATGGCCTCGTCACGTCATCATCCCACCTCACGGTCATCAGGTCATTAATTTATGCTGCTACTGTGACACGTTGGGCTTCTTCTCCCTGAGACGACCCCTAGAGTCCTGACTGGTCTAGACAAGCTGTTACTCCACACACTAACTTTAAGCAATTGTCATGCGGGGGACACCAAATATGTCCAAAGAAGACTGTTCGTGACTGACTGGATTGAATTCAATGTGGCGGAAACTGTGTTGGGAAGTATTCCTGCGAGTAACGTTGCATACCGTCACGTACCGGTGCATCATGGCTGTGTTCTTTCACAGGACTTTAGATGCGTGAGTTTCGAAGTCTGGAGAATGTTGTGAACGGTTTGTGATGGCATGGTGACTTCGCCACAGTCGAGTGCTAGAGCATTGCTGACCTAGGCTACATGTACCGGTACGACGAGGGACCCCGGTCTGGCTCGAGTCTTGGCTGGTGGTAGCAGCATTGTACACACACACACACTAGGATAATAATGCTAACAATGCTATGGCGATCTTCCTCTGGAAATTAGGTGGACATTGATCGTGCTCCGGATCTAGGGCCTGGGTCAGGAAACACTGAACTGTTTGCAGACTAGAGAAAAATCAACATATTTGTGTCACACTACTTCGTACAGTGATAGTGTGTTGTTTTTATCCTACATGTCCAGGACATCTGAAGTAACCCTTTCTCCACTCCATGCTTTAAAAAAAGTTAGAGCCTAGCTGCAGTTTGCCTGGCCGCGCACACACCCAGACACTCCCACTGTCACAGAGATCAAGTGGAGATGTTGCCAGTAAAGTGTTCACATAGGTTTGTGATCATAGTGTTGCAGTGTTGGCGCCAAGGAACACTTCAAAGTCTTCATCTCCAGTGCTGCATGTTCCAACTCCGGCGAACAGACACCGCTAGCTTTAGGCACTGACTGTTTTAGCGTCTTTGGCTTTGATCCGCACTATGCTTCAGTTCTAACGGCTAGATATAGAATGAAGAACGTGCGCACCAACTGCAGTACAGCAGTAGGGCTCTAGTCTAGGCTCGTGACCGGTTCACTGCGATTGTAGTTCTCGTTTCTCCGGCATTGTTTGTTTCATTTCTGCGAGAGCCCAAGTACAGTGCTGGCGACTGAAATCCGACCCCCCCTAGCGTCTCGTACGAATCGCTAACGCGGCTAGCGCACCGCTAGGGGTCGGATTTCAGTTGCCAGCACTTGTACCTCATGTTGACAGCGTAATGCATGCACTTTCCAGCATTGGTTCGTTCCCAGAACACACTTGACATGTGTGTTCTGGGAACGAACCAATGCTGGTTGTGTAGTTCCAGCCACATACTGATTGTGATATCCTGAGAATACATAATGATTATGTACACGTACTTGCATGGTATCTACATGACTCTTGATGCCATGCGTACTGCAAGACAGAAATTTCGCGACATGTTGCACAATCTAATTATGCAGCAGGACAGGTCGTTTTTCGTCTGATCGCACTGCACTGACTGACTGCCACTCACTGTTCTGATCTCACTTCCTCCTTCAGACAGAGTGCATATCGAGAGAAGGGCTTTTCTGTATTCAAAAGACAATGCCAATGCCAAGGAAGTTCCGCATGATGAGGATGACGCTGAACAATGTGACACTTGTGCTTCTGTGGTTTTCCGCAGCCATCAGGCAGATGTTGTTTGACAGCAGCGCAGTTCGTACTGGAGTGCACGAGTATCTGTCTACATACTCACTACAGTTCAGTAACAGACCAAACTTACTTACTTCACCGCATGGTACAAGGTGATCGCTAGTGCCAGGCAGTAGCAGCAAGGACTGAAGGTGTGGCCTTGGATGTACAGCGCAGCGACGAGAACAGTAACACACTACGGGGGTAGTGCTATGTCTCAGTATTATAATTATGTGCTGAACATCACAGCTGCAAACACTGAAACAGTGTTACCTGACAAGGTGGTGTTGGCTCAGGGAATAGGAATGTGATCGAATGACCTGATGATGAGCAGCGAGTGTAGTTCTCGACAAACTGGACGAGCAGCGCACGGCGTCTTCGCAGCCACACCTAACTCAAGACGAGAGGTGACACGTGTACCCGTTGACAGCCTGACAGAGGGCGTGTGCTGACCGCTCTTTGCTGAGGTCTCGTGAGGGAACACATCACCTGAGATCAACATACCTAAGTCCTTTTCCCCCACACTAATGTTACTTACGTTGAACTCTACTTGAAAACAATGACAGTGAAAGCAAGACTGGCAAGAGGACTCTAAGTCTAAAGTACCAATGCACTACCATTATGGTGAAAGTGTTACATGTGTACACTGTACTCACATGACTCGATGTATTCGGTCAATTCCACATCTTCACCATAGCATTGCTGTGCCAGAGTGGGGCTGCGAATCTTACGAGTACGGCGACGAAATCCACAGCCGTTATTCTTGATGTTCTCTCCTTTCTCCGTCCACGGCGACCAGCTAGTCAGTGCTTCGCTGCAGTCGTTCTCTACTTCGGTGGCCGCAGGCTGCTCGGAAACTGCTGCACTGCTGCTTCTGCTGGATGTGACAGCACCAGTAGTCGTGGTCTCCTCCACTTGCTCTTCTGTTGCTGTTGTTGCTGCATCTGTGGTGCCAAGCTCTGTAGTCGCGTCTGTGGTGCCAAGCTCTGTAGTCGCGTCTGTGGTGCCTAGCTCTGTAGTCGCGTCTGTGGTGCCTAGCTCTGTAGTTACGGTGGTGCTCTCAAGCTCCTCCTCTGCGGGTAGTGATTTCAGAGTGTCCAGTAACGTTGCTGCACTGCTCGTATCTGCCTGACTGCTAGTGGTGCCGCTGGTGGTGGCATCTTCAGTGGTTGGTACGGGAGTAGAGTGTGCAAGTCCAGAGACAAGCAGCAGGATAGACAGGAGTGCAAGTGATGTGTTTGAAGCCATGGCCACACTGAACTTGTCTTCCTGACCTTTGCTGCCAGCAGATAGAAGAAGAGAAAAAAAACAGAAGTCACCACGAATCTAAAGTGCTGGAAAACCGGTCCGTGAGCCAATTTATACTTAGCCATGTCACTAGCACGCACGAGCTCAGGCTAGGGGAATGCTGCGCTTTTGTCTAGTGGCACTCCCTCACAATTCTCGTGAAAGTTAGGTCAACGTAGGTGATGAGCTAACACACGTACACGAGGTAGACGGAACACACCTCTACACCCTTGACATGGCTGGAGCTTCCCAGCGTCTGCTGCACCAGTGTTTGTCAGTGTGTATTACTGGGAGCGTGCAGCAGTGAACTGAAAACGCCTAGGCACACACATGTATCGAGCCTGTCTGCCAGCATGGCAAACTTTAACTTGATTCCTAGGCCCCCTCGACAAGAAAGTACAATAACCCCCCTCTAGTCTAGAGGCTCTAGTGCACCCATCTAGCCGTACGCTACCGAAAACGGCAAAGTCCAAAGCCCAGTGCATAAGCAGACCTGACTTACTATGCCATAAGTTACTATGCCATAAGTTACTATGCCATATAAATCGAGGCAGTACTTCCTTACTTCCTTACGGCCACAAAGCTGGAGCCACACGGGACAATCGCCATGCTTACCTTGTATTGGACGCTTGATTGGTGAAGACCTTAAGGTGCTAGCGGGATTGGCCCGCGGAGTCTCACAGCACACCTTGGCACACTGGGTCTTGTAAGGTAGAACCGTTCACACACACTTACTCTACCAGGTTAGTCACTTCTTGGCGTCAAAGACCTTTGACTTTGCTTCTCTCTCAGCCCCTACACTCAGTTCTGCTACCTGTACGGAAGAATGATCTCGAAACTGGTGCTTTCTGGTACCACATGTCATCCTATTTATATCAGCCCGTGCAATATGCAGTACAATGCCATGCTCATTATCGACCTGGGGCGCTACTCGCTAGGCATGCTGCTGTACGAATACCTGGGCTGCAGTGCACTACTAGTGACCGGACTGTCTCCGTCACTTGTCCATGTGTGCTGTGTGGTGTTGTCACTGTTCTAAGTGTCCTGATGCCTGACACCAATCAACCCCAGGACTGACTGCATCATATGCACGGCCCGGGCCGGTGACGACACAGTCATGGTGTAGCGCACTGCATAACACATGCACAAGATGGCATGCTGTACCGTTCGCTAGCGCTTGAGCAAGCCCGCACCCACGTCACCTGAGTCATCCCGGACTGGTCAGCAACTCCACGTATCGTTTTTATCCGACGTTTGCGTTGGTGCATACTGCTGGGCCTAGTAGTAGTACACAGCAGCAGTTCGTACAGGCAGCAGGATCAGGAGCAGCTGCTGTAGCCAGATTTGGCCCCTGCGATCACGTGTGGGCGGATCCAACATTCTTTGATCTCAGCTCCTGGACTGGAGCTCAAAAGGCTGGTTGTTTGATGGTTGAGGAAGCCAACTCTTTCGCGTCGATCGTCGCAGCTTCCCGATCTTCAGGTCAGGGTGTTTGTGTGCGTGCATGTGTGTGTGCGTGTGTGTGTCTGTGTGTGGGCGCGCGTGTGTGTTTGTGTATGCGTGACCTGTCCGAAGGCTGAAGCGCGGAGTATTTCCACGTGACCTGCATTGTACGGAGCACTGAGCTATCATGAGTGAGAGCGGTCGTGTCAGTCACTCAGGTCTGTGATATTTGATATGATGTGCACTGCACTGCCACTGGGATGATGGAATAAATCACGTGATACGGGATGGCTGAGGTCCTCTAGCCCAGGCATAGAAATCGTTTTGCAGCGCGAGTAGTTCGCTCGGCGCCTCGGACTCATCACCACAATGCTACATGCACATGTACATTGTACACCGCACCACATACATGTCATGTCATGTAAACGTCAAAGCAACCTTCGACCGGGTACGAGTACAGACAACAATACATAACAGCATTCAGTCAGAACTGGCGCCGATCCGAACAGGACACGGTGTGTACCATGGTGTGCGGCAGATCAGGATTTTGCCGGCCCAAGCCTGGCCCTTGGCCAGGGTCGAGGAAACAGCAGACAGCAGACAGCACGGTCATCGCTGGTGTGTTCTATGTCAGGAATCGGATTCAGTCTGGCCCACCAACGATCTATGTACACAATCATGTACATGTATATCCATAGGGCATTCATGATTGTTTTCGTATACATGTACGCTCATTTGGAAACACTTGAATCCCCGCGTTCATCCCATCATCGACCGATGGTTTGCCCATGTACACATGTACACGGGTTGAGTGGGTCCTTTAGGATGAACGCCAATACGAAAATAATGAGTATTGATCTTCGGAAGTAACTAGTTCGGTGTTACGGTTCCTGTACATTCCTGTACATCGTTGCTCGTGTGCCTGCCATACATGTACAAAATCTACAAAATGCACTACATGATTACACATAGTGGAATGTACAATGCCCATGTATCCTACCCGGGCATAGTGTCGAGATGTCCTTGCTCCATCTCTGCAGCCGCCCACGACCCAATAGACAATAGACAATAGCAATGTCACACTGTCACCCTCAGCCTCTCAGTCTCAAACATCCCTTTTGTTTAGCACATGATCGGAGAGCAGCAGAAGGACTGTGCTGTACCAACCTCAGTCCTCAGTCCTGCCGCAGTGCTGGCTGGATTGAAGAACATGATCGGAATCCAGTCACGGAAGTGCTTGGCTTCAGACCCAATGCACAGTTCGTAGTGTGCGGGCTGCACTGGATGGACCTTTTCAACTGCACAGTGCCACTGCACTTTGAGTGGCGCCCGAAAGAGACGGTGTGACCCTGGTGCAACTGTCTACTGGTCACTAGTGAATGCGGTATTGGCGACGTTTGAAAATTCTGATTACGCATCATGTGAAGTAGAGAGTCGCTCAATCCGCAACGATTCTATTCGGGAATAGGCGACATGGTGGTGTTGGACTACATCATAGTGTTTGCTGTGTTGTAGTAAATACGATACTAGTACCGCCGTGGACAGCAATAACTACCGCACGGCGGTGAAATGGACTGTTGTTCCGACGAGACTCCTCGGATCGTACCCATGTCCATATTGTCCAGTGATATGCATGCGCATGCCCAGTATTCATGCTACAGTATCGACTACTAGTATCCTGTTTTACGATCACTTGTATTGATGCTGTACGAGTTTCTGCCACAACGCAGTGCAATGCAATGTATTCCAGCAGCCATCTTCCGCCTATTCTTGTTCTCAGGTGCAATGCAAGGATCGTTTGCATTTTCGCACTATCTACATGTAATCCCGGTTTGTTGTATCAGTGACACTCACACATTCACATTCACAGTGAGTAAAGCTGTTGTCTGTGGAGCTAACAGTTACATGTACATGTAACATGTATATTGTACGTTAAAGTTACTTCAAAAATAGAGCCTGCTTTGAATCGAAGCACACACGTAACATTGGATCATGCATTTATCGGATTAGATTCACTTTAATTAATCGGATCACATTGAAGTACAGGCACAGGTACATGTACATGACATTGTACAATCAGTCGATCACGGAGCTCTCAAATGGACAAGAACAAACAAACACCAGACTGAAACGGATGTTGATGAAGAAGCCAAACGACGTGGGAAGGCCCACGTGACACACTACATCCACACACACGCACACAAACACACACACACAAACACACACACACACGCACACACACACATACTCTGAGTCTCTTTCTCCCATTGCAGGGCACTATCCGTGCCGTGTTCCATGCATGGGGCACCAGATCAGAGAATATCATCAGATCATGGCATTATGGCATATCGTCGAGTAAAACGTTTAGACACCGGACACCAGCCACTTGAGGTAGTGAAACTACATTGCAACGAAACTACTGTACTGAGCGAGCACACTGATTACTGGTTGAAAAACAATGCCTTGCCCTCGAACACTGTGAGACGTTTGACCTCTCTTTGATACTGTTACAAGTACACGTAAGTCAGGGCAGTGTTTGCTTGCTTGCTCATCTCAAGGAACTGTAGTGAATGAGCCCAAAGTGCAATGGAGATGGCGTGTGCCGAAACACACCACTGAAGCCAATGATCATGAAGCACTTCGCACAGAGACAGAATCTCGAATTGGTGCTGCAGGTGTTGTTGTTACGTACATGTAAGTTGTGTGGTCCTCGCCTATAGGCAAGTGATAGTAGATAGCAGTTGGGTACAGTGTAAGTGAAAGTGAAAACCAGTTGAAGTCAGTTGATAATATTCCAAGTGTGTGATGAATGGCAGTGCCAGGAGATACATCAGCATCATCGGTGCAACAATTGCTATTGTTGTATGGCAACATGTGCATGACTTTGTACATGTAGCTTGAAACGCAGTCATTCGTTTCGGCCAATTTGCACTGCTAAACTGTTTTGCTGATATTTCTGGGGAACGAGTTCAACAATGCCTGGTAGGATTGGGATGTCATCCACACCGTCAAGAGTAGTTTACAAACAAACAGCCCCCACATCAGCAACACCAGTAATGTACAATGTACATGTACATGTACATTGTACATTCACGTCATCCCAGTCATGCATTCTATACCACCGCTTTTAAAGGGGAAGTTAATAATTATGTGAAATGATCTTGAAACCAGAACTCCCGGGGCTCACCCTCTCCCCTGGCCGTCAGAATATTTGTGCTAGTTCTCTGGAATTTCTCAAGTTCTTCATTACGCCTGGGCCATATTATCCCACCATTGGCGCCATGTACCACTGTACTGCGTTGTCACCCAATATTAAAATATTCTTGAAAACAGCTAGTGAGTATACAACTGTATAGACAAGGATCCTGGGGAGCATGCTAGCAGCAGCCAATACTCGACTATCGACGCTGAATATATCAGCAACCGTGTGACCTGTATGTTTACGCGTTCTTGTCGCGTAAAATGAGGGCATATTTTTAAATTATTACACATGTACTTGAAGTGCAGATCCAATACTGGCAATAGCAAATGTCACATTGGGTATAGGCATGCAGTTGGAAGTCATTCTGTTCTCCGCGATTGATACGATCATTTGCGGCTGTATTCATTCGCTTTCATCCATCGCAGCACAGCGGTTGGCGGTGTGCGATTGCAGGTAGACGGGTCTACACTGTAATTGGCTGTGAGTATTCCCAGCTGTTGAGTGTTGTAGCAGTGGCACCGAGTCTGCGTTGTCAGGTTGTACTCGTATAAACTCACTGTGTCTGTCAAGGTTAAAGTAGCAAATGGGTCACCGTTTCGCCAGGTTGTTCCAGTGTCTTCTTGTTGTTAGACGAGTGAAGTGCTAAGAGTGAACTGCTGCCCGGAAAATTCTCTACACCCACGATCAAACATGTCACAATAGATTATTTTTAAAACGGTTTTGTGTTTCATTGACATCTGCACGTACTGGAAGTAGGACAATGGGGAGCTAAAATGCCATACAATCGTTACACACAGCCACAGTGGAGTAAAGTCTAGAGAAGACCATATCTGGTCATGTGGCACTGCCTTGGGTAGCCCCCAATTGTCAAATTTTTGTAGCAATGGGAAAGTTGTCGCCTCTGAAATTTTGATTGTCTATTTTAACAGTTACGCGTGTGCGGTATATCGGCGTGTATAACAAATTGGCGAGGAGTGTGACTTGTGTGCATAATGTACCATAGCACACTCATGTTGTGCCTTTTCTCAGATCTCTACGTGTTCATGGTGTTGGGACAGTTGGCTTCGACTATTGTAGCCTTTACACACCATGATTAGGCAGTTGTGCCAGTAAGTTCTGTAGCTGTGCTACCATCCACGTTTATCCTGCTACTGCAACTGTCATGTAGCCTTCCTTGGTGATGGTGGCTGCAGGCTGAGTGGAATTTCCCC